GTTTTACCTCTGTTCGAACCCTCTGGCGAAACGCTACCAGTGAACAAAAAGCTGTATCCACGCGCTTTGATCGTCCTGCTTGATTGCCTCGACTTGACCGGGGTGTTCGCCACTTTGGCCCTCGCGGAGCGACCAGTGTCTTTTACCCCTCGCTTTGGACGCCCGAAGTGGATACAGAAAAAATTGCACGATGCCCAACACCACATGTTGTCCAAAACTGGCAGCGGCCGCTGTTGGCCAGGCGGCCCTGTGTCTCACATGGACAACGACCGCGGCAACGCCGACAGCAAATCCTGTTCAGAATGAACCAAATCTGCTGTCATCGGGCGTGGGCAGAACTGGGTATATTGGGACCTGGCTTAGTGATGTGTACTGAGGGGCGCCCTCCGGGCCCCGTTCCACTCACCCGAACTGCCGTCACCCGAAAAAAAAACACCAGCTGCGGCAGACCTGGTCTAGTGATCCTGGCCAAGTTAGGGGCTCCAGGGCCATACTACCAACCGGGTCCTCTTACCTGGAGTCCTGGCTATACCCGATGTAAGAAGTCGTACCCACTGCCTCCGTACCCATCTCGATCCTCCCGACTCGCCTCCCGGCGCCCCGGCCGAGAAGTGATCACTTCTGGCCACAGTGAGGGCCGTCGGGCGGTGGGCGCGGAGGCTCTTCCGGCCAGCCTGCGCGCCACGCGCGGGCTTCGCCGGCGAGACCTATACACGCGCACCGCCCCTGGCCAGGCCCGTCCCAGGCCCGGGAGCGGTGTATACGTCACCCTGGCTTGGCCAGGGAGGCATGTGTATACACACACGCGACGTGTGTGTATATATATATGTATGTATGTATGTATGTATGTATGTATGTATGTATGTATGTATGTATGGATGTATGGATGTATGGATGTATGGATGTATGTATGTATGTATGTATGTATGTATGTATGTATGTATGTATGTATGTGTGAGTGCGTGCGTGCGTGCGTGCATGCATGCTGCATGCATGCATGCATGCATGCATACATACATACACACGCATACATACATACATACATACATACATACATACATACATACATACATACATACATTTACACACAGACATACCTACATACATACATACGTATACACATACATACATACATACATACATACACACATACATACATGCATGCATACATGCATGCATACATACAGACATGCATACATACATACATACATACATACATACATACATACATACATGTGTATATCAATACATTTATACATATACATGTATCTACGCGTAAACCTATAAACATGCATACATGCAGACATGCATGCGGTGTATACGTCACCCTGGCTTGGCCAGGGAGGCATATGTATACACACACGAGATGTGTATATATATATATGAGTGCATACATACATGCATACATACATACATGCATGCATACATGCATGCATGCATACGTACATAAACATATATACGTGCATATACAAACATACATACATGCATGCCTGCATGCATGCATACATACATACGCACATGCATACATACATACATACATGCATGCATGCATGCATACATGCATACATACACACATACACACACATACATGCATACGTACATGTATGCATACATGCATGCATGTATACATACATAAATGTACATATATTCATATACATATATATATGCATGTAACATATAAGCATACATACATGCAGACATGCATGCATACATACATGCATACAATCATAACTGCATACGTGCATGCATGCATGTATGCATGCATACAAACATATACGTATACATACATGAATACACACGTACATAACTACATACATACATACGTACATACATGCATGCATACATACGTATATACATACCTGCATGCATGCATACATACATGCATGCATGTGTATATACATGCATAAATGCATACATGCATGCATAAATGCATGAATGTCTATAGACATGCATGCGTGCATGCATGAATACATACATGCATGTATGCATGCATGTATGCATACATGCATGCATACTTACATACATACAGACAAGCATGCATACATACATGCATGCATACATACATACAAGACTGCATTTGCGCTTCACGTCATGCACTTTGGTCCTTCAGGTTTGGCATGCAGGCAGGAAGGCAACAAGGTAAAAGGGAACATTTAGCGACAATTCCTTGTTGCCTCGATATCTTCCCTCATGTTTCCTCTTCCTCTCCCTCATTCTCGCCCTACCCTACGAACTCGCCACCATCCTCAGCTCTTTTTGTGGAGTCTCATCGTAGGAGAACCTCTTGTAAGTCTCACGAAGGTTTACAAGGGCTTGTTGGGGCCTTCTGGAAGCCTCCTGGGTTCCTTCTGGGGGCCACTGGGGGCTTCCCCGGGCCACCCTGCTTCCAATCGCGGTCTCCCTGAACGACTGGGTCACGATTTGGAATGATTCGGGACGCGTCGTGGGGCCATCTTGGGCCGTCATGGGGCTCTCTTTGGGTCGTCTTGGGGCCCTGTTGGGCCGTCTTGGGGCTCCTCTTGGACTGCCTGGAGGCCCTCTTGGTTAAATTTGGGGCGATGCACTGGGCAGTCTCGGACGCCCGGAAGACCGAAGAATTGAGCAGTCCCAGAATCGTGAAAAAAACATCAGAAGTCCATGTTTTCTGCGTTTCGAATGCCTCTTGGGGGCTTCTTTGGGTCGTTTTTGGGGCGTCTGGTGGGTGTCTGGGGCCTCTGTGGGCTCTCGCGGGGCCGTCCGGCCGCCCTCCTGATCGATGTGGGCCTGTTGCCTAGGCCCAGTAGGGGCTTTGGAAGCCCTGGAAAGCACTGGGGACCGTCTGCAAGGGCGTCCAGGGTACCCTCGGGGCCAAGGATCCGGAAGGTCCCGATTAGGGAGGGTCGCAGGGTCCCATTACAAAAATAAAGAATAGGGGATCGATATATACATATATATATACATACATACATACATACATACATGCATACATACATGAATGCATACAGACAGACAGACAGACATACAGACAGGCAGGCATACAGACAGGCAGAGATACATACAAACAGACACACATATAGATATATGCATACATTCATACATACATACACACATACACGCATACATGCATACATGCATATATGCATACATACATACATACATAAATGCGTACATATATGCATGCATGTAACAGATATACATACATACATACATACATACATACATACATACATACATACATACATACATACATACATACATACATACATGCCTATATAAAAACATGCACACGTACATACATACGCAGTACATACATAGATACATGCATGTATATATACATGTGCATACATACATACATACATACATACATACATACATACATACATACATACATACATACACACATACATACATATACACATGCATGCATGAATGCATGCATGCATGCATGCATGCATACATACATACATACATACATACATACATACATACGAATGTACATTTATATTTATATATATACACCTGAAGAAAAAAGGAAAAAAATGAATATGCATGTATGCGTACATGTAATCATACCTACTTATGTAGGTACAAACATAAAATATTCTTATATACATATGTGCACAAGCATACACACAACAGCAGAAGTCATAGGCCCAGGATGGGCCTGGCCAGGAGCGGTAGACGTGTGCAGATCTCGTCGCCCGACGGGTCATCCTCTGCGCCCCCCCTGGAAGATGGCTCGGGGTGAGAAGGCGGTCCCCGGGGAGCGCCGCAAGAGCCTCGCGCCCCTTCATCGCAGAGGGGCCGCTCCTGCTCCAGCGCATTCGCTCGCCTGTCCTGCACTACTGTTTGGCGGCGAGCGAGGGGGCGAATGAGAAGGAGAAGGCCTTCTCAGAAGGCGGCGGGACTTCTCAGAGGCCCTTGCACCTTCAGAGAAGTTTCCTGTGTATTCGGGGCAAGCTTCGAAAACTCCTCAGAAGTCTGGGGGACTTCTGAGCCTTCTGAGAAGGCCCGCCCCTTCTTACTTCCCCCCGGGGCTCGACGCCGAGGAGGAGGAGAAGCGGACAGTACCAGGACAGAGCACCTCGGTGAAACACTCGCAAGCGCACTGCCGACGCCTTGAAGCCGCACTCGCCAATGCCAAAGGAAGATACTCCGCCCTGGCATGAGCACGTCGAGAAAATACGCAGAGAGCATCTGTACACCACCACCGTGGCTGGCCAGGGCCATCCTGGGCCCTGGCATGGTGTATACGCCCTCCTGGCCGATGCCTGGCCAGGCACGGTGGTGATGTATAGATGCCGCCTGCGGAGAAAGCTGAGCGGGCAAGAAAACCGCCATACTGCGACCAATCCCGACAGCGATATCAGTAATGGTACTGACAGCAAGACACCGAACAACGACTGGGAGCCACACAGCAAAGCGCCGGCATCACCGACGACAACAACCTTGGAATCCTGGGTATGGTTCGTGCGAGGCGTACGCTGGTGGCTGAATGGACACGTTCACATTTCAAGAGGAAGCGGAACTACGCAGCGCGGGTAGCCAACCACAATTCCGACAGGTAGGCACGACGTTGTGCGACTTGGTGTCTACATTCGCACGACATGCGATAAGAAGAACGACGACACGGAGGGCAACGACAAGCATGGGAATGTGAAGTCGCATCGTGTTTTTGTTCACGGACTGCGACGAGTTACGAATACGATACTCGACTGGTGGAGGTGGCACGAGATACCCACTGGTGGCACGGTGGGAAGGAAAGTTTTTTTTACCTGTACGCAAGAGATTCTTTCATCCGAGATCTTTCCGACACAGACGCCTGAGCCCTCATCCCCAGGAAAAATTGCCCGTCCGCGCTGCCCTCCCAAAGCTGGTCCCGCTGGACCGTCAGTGCGCGTCTGCTGCCCGCTGTCTGCTGTCTACCTCTGTAAGTCCACCCCGACTGCGCCGTTCAGTCCGCCTGCCCCCACCGGTTTCCAGCCTCCCTCATCCGCTCACATCCCCCCGCATCTCTTGGCCTGGGTAGCGATCGTGCCCGAAGATCGAATGGAACAAGCCCTTGCGCTTCCTCCTGTGCGAGTGGAACATGGACCTCTGTGGCAGCAGGCTCCTCCTATCTCCCTCTCTAGCACTCTGTCTCGCTCTCTCTCTCTCTCTCTCTCTATCTCTGCATATGTGTTTCTTTATCTCTCTCTCTCTCTCTTTTCTCTCTCTCTCTCTCTCTCTCGCTCTCTCTCTCTCTCTTTCCCTCTCTCTCTCTCTCTCTCTCTCTCTCGCCCTCTCATCTTTATCTCGTTACGTTCTCTCTCTCGCTCTCTCTCTCTCTCTCTCTCGCTCTGTCTCTCGTTCTCTATCTCTCTCCTTCCCTCTCTTTCTCTCTCTCTCTCTCTCTCTCTCTCTCTCTCTCTATTACTCGCTTGTTCTCTCTCTCTCTCTCTCTCTCTCTCTCTATCTCTCTCTCCTCTATATGTATATATATATATATATATATCCCTCTTGTTCTCTCTCTGTCTCTCTCTCTTCTCTCTCTCTCCCTCCCTCTCTCTCTCTCTCTCTCTCTCTCTCTCTCCTCTCTCATGTATACGTATGTGCCGGTATATGTATACATGCATAACTCCACGTATCGATATGTATTTGTAGGTGTATACATTTAGAATATATATATATATATATATATATATATATATATATATATATATATATGTAGACACATATATATATATATATATTGACTTTCTGACCGTCGCCGTACTCATTGGTTCCTCGGTTCGGTACATGACCGGGGGCGCGGCTATGGCGCGCGTTCCTTTGAGAGCTTCGAGGTTAGAGCTACTGGGGCCTTTCAGGACGCCTCCTGGGGCCTCTTGGGTGCCGTTTGGAGGCCTTTCGGGGCCTCTTCTGGGCCTCTTGGGTGCCTCGTGGGGCTTGTTGGGGCCGTCTTGGCGCTCTCTTGGACCGTCTTGGACGCCTCATGGGCCGTCTTTTTTTCTCAAGACGTCGGAGTGCGCCTGAGAGCGATGCTGCCTGCCGCAGAGCTCCTCTCTCGCTTGCTCTTAGCAAAAGGTGCCGAGGACACAGCGGACAGCGCTGTACACGAGCTACTGCCTTGGGCTGCAGCTCGCTGGAAACTGCTTCGTGAAAGGCGCTGCTCCTGGGCTGCAGTGCCACGCAACTAAATGCCCGAGCATATTATTTCGCCCACACGGCACTCTCTTGAAAGGCGAGTCGAGATAACGACAATGACATATATTGATATATGCTCTGCCGCGGGGATCCTCACTTGCTTGCTCTCAGCAGAAGGTGCCGGTGACGCAGCGGCCAGCGCTGTACATGAGCTGCTGCCTTGGGCTGCAGCTCGCCGGAAATTGCTGCGTGAAAGGCGCTGCTACCCTGGGCTGCAGTGCCACGCAACAAAATACCCGAGCATTATTTCTCCCACACGGCACTTGAACGAGAGATGGACATGCTTGGTTCGCGCATGAGGTCTCTATTCACACTGAAGCTTGGCAAGCCCAGTTTGGGAGGCGATTGCTCCAGACTATGCCAGTCGTCGGGAATCGAGCTGACCCGAGCAACCAACTGACCTAGGCATCGAGTCGTGTCGGCGGAATCAGCACCAGGAAGCGGCTCTGGGCGTCCAAAGAAGCACCCACAGCCCCGCGAGTGACAATTGTACTTGCGCCCACCAGGACCCCAACAACAACAACAACAAAACTTGCAGGAGCCCCAGCCCCCCCCCACCTTCTTCTCCCACTAGCTCTCCCTCACAAAACCAAGACGAGCAAACAATGACAAATCACTGCCTGATGTAGTAGAACGGAGACTACAAGTGCCCGCGGCCAGTAGATCCTGCCTCGACACTCCTGTTGGTTTGGAGCAACGCTGTGCTGGATACTGAGCGTCCCTGCCCCTTGGGCCGTCTTGGAGCCCTCTTGGGCCGTCGTGGGGGCGTCTTGGGGGCCTTTTGGGCCGTCTTGGGGCGGTCTGGGGGGTGTCTTGGGCCGTCTTGGAGCGTCGGAAAGCCCAGAAATTTGGGGGCCGTCTGGGGCCGTCTTACGCCCTACAGGGGCGCTCCAGACCCAGCGACCCCACCAGGCCCGGAGTCTAGACGGATCAGGTTTTTTTGCATATAGGGCTGCATTGTATCAGCACAGCGATATATACCGTAGCACCCCGCAGTTGCGGATAACAGTGAGGGGGCGGCGAGGACGTCGTCAGTCTGGGAGGCTCTGAAGAAGCCCACCGCAGGAGCCTAAGTTCTTCAAAGTATGCATGGAGCCCGCCGCAGGCGCCGATCTTTTCGCTAAAGCAATGTGGCTGGATCGCGGGGTGGGTCTCGGGTGGGTCACGGGTGGGTCACGGGTGGGTCGCGGGCCGGGTCGCGGGTGGGTCGCGGGTGTCGCGCGTGGGTCGCGAGTGGGTCGCGGGTGGGTCGCGGGGTGGGTCGCGGGGTGGTTCGCGGGTGGGTCGCGGGGTGGGTCGCAGGGTGGGTCGCGGGTGGGTCGCGGGTGGGTCGCGGGTGGGTCGCGGGCTGGGTCGCGGGGTGGGTCGCGGGCTGGGTCGCGGGGTGGGTCGCGGGTGGGTCGCGGGTGGGTCGCAGGGGGGACGACGACAACAAACAACAACAACAACAACAACAACAACAACAACAACAACAACAACAACAACAACAACAACAACAACAATTACTAGCACGTGGGGACACTCCGTTCTCACCAGTGCCAGGGTTTTCATAGGAGGCGGGCAATACCCCCACTTTGTGGGGGGGCCGGTTCAAGCTCTACCAAATTTCCAAACGACTCTTCGCCACCACCCACACCCAGCTTCCCGCCCTATGACGTTCGGACACTTCACTTCGTGGCATGCGGACGACCGTGGCTACTATTCAGGGCCCCGCGGCCGACGACGACGGCGTGCGCGCGCGAAGAAAAAACGAATGTGTCCCGCATGGTATTATTTGACAGGGATGATGGCCCTGGCAGGTGCGCAACCGTTGTTGCAGAAGTTCGAAAAAGTTGCTCGCAAAAGCCCGTTTGACAGAAATGTTTAAAAAGTGTTGGGTTTCCTACGAATCCGCAAGAGCGCGCGGGATGAGATTTTGACATTTTTTTGTTGAAAAACCATTGGTTTTTTGATGTTTTTATGTTAAAATCGCTCCGAACACTAAGCTTTTGGAAGGATTTCGTCTTGCGCGCGCGAATGTCCACTTTACCTTATTTTTTGCAAGGGATTCTTGAAATTTGATTATATTAGAACAAGAAATGTCATTTTATAGTGTTTTTTGCAAGGGAAAACGGATTACAACAAAACAACCGGATCTGGATCACATCGTTTTACCTGAGGCTTCCTCACGAAAATGATGAAAATGTAGCTGCGGCCTAGGCGGCGCAGGGGGGGCGCGCACCAGGGGGCCCAACAATAATTATTCTTTAGAATAAATAATGTTCAACAACAACAACAACAACAACAACAACAACAACAACAACAACAACAACAACAACAACAACAACAACAACAACAACAACAACACCAACAACAACAACAACAACAACAACAACAACAACAACAACAACAACAACAACAACAACAACAACAGCAACAGCAACAGCAACAGCAACAACAACAACAACAACAACAACAACAACAACACAACCACAACAACAACCACAACAACAACAGCAGCAGCAACAACAACAGCAGCAGCAGCATCAACAACAACAGCAACAACAACAACAACCACAAAAACAACAAGAACCACAACAACAACAACAAGTTTAAGACTGTTCGCCCTTATCTGCTCGAGTGTCCAATACCCGCGATACCTTTCTTCCCTGCAGGCCGGGCCCCGGCAAGCGGCGGGGCGGCCGCGGACCGTCGGCCTGGCCAGCGGCAACGCTGATCGGCGGGGCGGCCGCGGACCGTCGACCCGACCCCAAGAGGGACGGACAGGGGACCGACCACGACGACGACGACGACGACGACAACGACGTCGACGACGACGGCGACGACGACGACGACGACGACGACGGCGACGACGACGAGCGAAAGCGAGAGCGAGAGAGAACGACAGCAGGGCCACAAGGACACGAAGTAGGCCACGAAGGGCGACAACGGGGACACAAAGGGAATGCGTATGGGGCCACGAAGAGCGCGAACGAGCGGGCGCCACGAAGGGCATACGTATACTGGGCCGCGGAGGGCAAGGACGGGGCCACTGAGGGCAGCAACGGGGCCACGAAGGGCAGCGAGGGGGCCACGAAGGGCGACAGCGGGGCCACGAAGGGCAGGAAGGGGGCCACGAAGGGCGACAACGGGGCCACGAAGGGCATGCGCATGGGGCCACGACGGGCGCGAACGAACGGGGGCCACGAAGGGCAGAGCATGCGGGGCCACAGAAGGCAACGACGGGGCCACTGAAGGTAGCAACTAGGCCACGTAGGACAGTGAGGGGGCCACAAACGGCGACAGCGGGGCCACGACAGGCATGCACATGGGACCACAACGGGCGCGAACGAACGGGGGCCACGAAGGGCGTACGTGTACTGGGCCGCAGAGGGCAAGGACGGGGCCACTGAGGGCAGCAACGGGGCCACGAAGGGCAGCGAGGGGGCCACGAAGGGCGACAGCGGGGCCACGAAGGGCATGCCTATGGGGCCACCACGGGCGCGAACGAGCGGGCGCCACGAAGGGCATACATATATGGGGCCACGAAAAGCAGCGAGGGGGACACGAAGGGCAGCGAGGGGGCCGCGAAGGGCTGCAACGGGGCCACGAAGGGCTGCGACGGGGCCACGAAGGGCAGCGAGGGGGCCACGAAGGGCTACAACGGGGCCACGAAACAAAGCGAGGGGGCCACGAAGGGCTGCAACGGGGCCACGAAGGGCAGCGAGGAGGCCACGAGGGGCTGCAACGGGGCCGCGAAGGGCAGCGAGGGGGCCACGAAGGGCTGCAACGGGGCCACGAAACAAAGCGAGGGGGCCACGAAGGGCTGCAACGGGGCCATGAAGGGCAGCGAGATCCCGATTCTTAGGTAATCTGTGAGGGAGTCCTAAACGTGAGCGCGACTCCTGGGTGCCTGGGTGTCGGGAGCGC